ACAGAACACCTCAGGCTAATTGCGGCAAGCTGAGCCTACCTGAATTGCGTGTGATTGTTCTGTCCAACCACTGTCCAAACTGACAATGATCATGCACACAAAGTCACGTACATACAACAGTGCTCTGCTCACATTGCTCACCAAAGCATTATGCTGCATTGCACTACACCCCCTGTCTGAAGCGAGAATAACTACTATGGCGGAGGAGACTGGAGGCTTTCTTTAACACCAAGCAGCAATGGAGACCACTCATTCTTGTGGCTGCTGACAGGCTGGCGAGATGCGTTTCCAAGGGGAATTTTTTCCAAACATCAACCAACCTTGGCCGTAGTGGTTCCAGTCATCGTGAGAGATGGAATTGATCCTTGTGAAACTGCCTTTTCCATGGAACACTCAACCTCTTAGGGTGCATTAAGGGTTGCTTTACACATGATACTAGTTCTTATGTGAGACAACTTGCATGCAACTGTCTGATAAGTGTATGGGTACGATGCGCCAAGTGAAACATATTATGCAATCCAACCTTTGTTTCATTGTCATCATACCATTAGACCGGTAGTCACGCGCAATTGAACAATAAGATACAGATTGCGGGGGTTTATTTTTTCATTAGCACCTCGTTTCATGTGTCTAATGGCGTTGAGGTGGTCTGACGAGGCAAACTTGCCCTTACAAAATGCTATTCTAAAAAGTCGTTATCTTCCGCAAACGTGGATAGATCCGCGTTCGGTATTATGTAGCGTAGAAGTTGGTCGCGACTGCAAAAGTAGCTCTTTTAAAATGTCTTGTGGGAACCTGCAAGAAGTCTGTGGACAGTCTCGCGGATGCTCGGCGCGAAAGCTCAGCAGAATCACGTCACATATTCCGACGAAAGCAAAAAAGCGTCGGCTTCTTCAGCTCTGGCGATACACATACACATTGGGCCGTTGCCGTTCGCGTGCGTGCTAACCCTTCAACACGCGCACCACGAATGAGGCGTTTATATGACGTCACGATTTTTGACGCGGGGGCTGTCTCCTCGAGTCGCACACGTAAAAAAAGCGGCATCTGTTCCATCCGAAGGTAAGGACGTGAATGAGGGAATTAGCGCAGCGTTGCAGTCAGCTTGTTGCTACCATTTGAGGACAGCGCAAATACACAATGCATGACGTTGGATCTCCGGTCTATAAACCGCTTAGACGCGCGCGAAGCTCGGTGTCTAGAGCAACATTCCGAAAGACTCGCGGCATGTGGGGTAGCGCCCTCGCGCGCTCGGGCGAAAACATTCCAAAGCCCATCGGGTGGGAAATGTAGGGTAGACACATGCGCTTCCAGCGTTTAACTATTAATATATTTGAAGTTGCGTTGAACATTTCACCCAAAATTAATACTCAGATAGAAGAAGGGAAAAAAAATAGAGTAGAGAAAGAAAACCAGGAGCTGTAATAGGATTGAATTTTCTCATGCAATTAATTTTTTAGTGGACTAACATCACGTATGTATGGCCATGAGAGGGAACAACTTGTAAATTTTAATGGATGCATATGCACCAGAAAGTCCTTTAGTCTAACTGGGGAGTGATCGTATTAATAACAGGCCCGTGGGCCAGTACTAAGTATGAGTAGTGGGTGGATTGAAGCTACTTACAGTCAGAGTGCAAACCAAGCGTCAGAGAAGAGGTGATCGGAGGAAGACCAGCGACTAGCCTTCTGGTCAGCGAGTGTTGCGTGATATAGGTGGGCACGAGTACATTCAATGGAAGAGTTAGCATCTCAGGAAAAACATTTGGTTGTACCAAACCTCCCTTGCTTCACTTTCCTCTTCTTCTCTCTCTGTGGTTCTCCTTGGCTACACGGTTCAGGTTATTGTCCCTTGTTCCTCTTTCCTTTATCAGTGTTGGTAGGTATATATTATCAACCTCGTAAAACAGGGTAATTAAAAAGGAAAAGTATAATTATAAAAATAGTAAACAGGGTAAGTAAAAAGCTAGAAATGTCTAAAAGACAACACTGTTTAGATTTGCAACTGACTTAGGATGCTCTCCTTTAACACATGTTATAATTCCCCATATCCTCCTCCAGGTGGCTGTGGCTGATGCATGAGACTCGCATTACACTATACAAAAACCCAGCAGTCCAACAGAGGAGTGTCCAGCAGTCAACTCTCTCTCTCCACCACAGGTCCGCTGACGACACAGTCTCTCCGCGTCGTCTCAATGGCCAGCCAAGATGCCAGTGAGGAGTGGGCAGGTGACGGGAGAGAAGATGGAACACGGGTGTCCTGGCTGGGTGGGGCGGGGGGGGGCGGTGGAGATAAGGAGAGCCTGGTGACCTGCAGTGATCTTCTCAGAATAATCCAAGTTAGTGTATAATATAGACGGTTCACACATGTTGAGGGGCTGAGTGGAACAAGTGTCCATGGTATATACAACATTAGCCCAAAGCGCACAAGCTCCACCGCGCGTGTGTAATGGTAGTATATGATTGGGTGTAAAGACACAGCTGTAGAGTTTTGTCTGCTGCTCTTTCTGATTACATTATCACAACCATTTCTATTTGTATGTGGTCCATGATTGCTAAAAAAGCCATGATGCAAGCCGCTGGGCTGGGAAAACAGGGGAAGCGTGAGCTACGGAAGGTCAAAAAGATTAGGCAGAGGATAACGGGCTTCCACACCACCAAACGCAAAGGAAAACACCCCAAAAAAAACAAAAAACTAAAAAGAATAAAAAGCGGACGACCGGTCGCGTAGAGCTGGCTTTCGACCCGGTGGGGGTGTAGGGTCGGTGAGGTGCGCGGGGCACACACAAAACCCCCCACCACCCACAAAACCCCCCCCCCCCCCCACCCCCACCACCCCACCAACACCCCCCCCACAAACACCCACCACCCCAGACCCCCCCCCGCCCCCCCCCCCCGCCACCCCACCCCCCCCCCCCCCCCCCCCACACGGCCCCGCCCCCCCCCCCCCCCCCCCCTCCCCCCCCCCCCCTCTCCCAGATGACACAGTGGCCCGGTCTCCTATCTCTCTTCTGGCCGAGTGTTCATATCTCACAGAGTCCAGTATATTCCACATCAAAAACTGGAACGACGAAGTCTACGGTCGGAGGACGAGACTCATGCCAGTGACGACGATGTTGTGTGGCAGGGATGGGATGGGGACGCCCCAGCAGTGGTACGGAACCAGCCTATGTGGGAAGGAGCTCTCTCTACCTCAGAGAGGACGGAGGTCTAGTGTTCAACTTGCCAGAGATAGTAATTTAGCGTAAGTCATTTTTCGCTAATCTCAGCATTTAAAAGTTCATATCCCACTTTGCCTGACATGGACATTCCAAATTTTTTTAAGTTTCATTTTTAAACCTCTTCAACTTGTATTTTCTTCCTTTCCTTTGCACTCAATAGTGCACCATTTTCAACTGTACTTCTTACTGTACATACACAGTATTGAACTGGAGGACTACCCATACTACATGTGTATGGGCTACAAGCTGCCACCTGGCTACGCGTTCTCCCTCATGTTTCGACTGAGTGGGTTCGGTTACTGGCTGTCTGCCTACTTCAATCGCGACATCACAGGCATCTCTTCGGTTAGCTTGGGCGAGATTTCCAACCTTGACAGCAATGCAGACATGATCAAGGATGATGATCAGTAAGTTTTAACCTTTTAAACGTGTGTCCCATCTTAGTCATTGTTTTTAGTATAATAGCACTGCTTTTCTCTCTACTCTACTGTGAGATTTCGTCTCTCTCTCTCTTTCTCCATCCAGGTGGCACTATACCTGCATCGACCTACAGGCCATCATAGCCAATGGGTTCTCCCCACCAGACAGCTACGAGTACAATGGTGTCCACATCCTGGATGGGTTCGGGTCTACGCAGACGAAGATCCTGCGTCACGAGGGTTCTACGTGGACGAATTCTCATTCGCACACTTTGCAAGAACACTGGACATTGAGGTATGGGACACTCGATATGGAGGGTGCTGCACATTAAAGGTCAATTCACTTCTTGCTCTTAATGTTTTTTCTCCTGTAGACTTATGTTCCTCCCTCATCTGCTAATGGAATAATTCTTGAGAACATCACTGCCACCAATGAGAGTGCTGCCCTTGGCAACGGTGTGGTTGCTGTGACGGTGAACCTGGAGTTTATCCCCCTCGATTGTGGCTACGACTTCACTCCATTCTCTGCCGAGTTGACCAATGAGCTCGACACAGGTTTGAAAGTGCATTCGAATGACAGGAGCATACAACAAGAGTGATGGTTTATGGATAGAAAATGGTGATGCAATGTACAATTGTAGCTAGCGAGAAATTTCTGCCAATTGCTCCCTGAAATTTTGCAATTTACAAACATGAATTGCCAAAAGTTTCAGCCCTGTAGACACAGCCTGACATTAAACTTGCACAATTTTAAGGCAGGCAAAAATGGGGGTTGTCTGGTACACTGGTCAAATTCCGAAACAAAACCTAGTCAACCGCTACAGTAGTAAATAGCATTCTCTTTTCGTTCCTCTCGACACCATGTCTTAATATGAATCTTCAGTTCTCTGACAAGGATATCATCACTTTTGCCTGCATTTTTTTCTTCCCCATAACTCAGTGGTCCAGGATGTATCGGTGATGGAAGTGCAGGAAGCGAGTGAGCCGCTGGGCGGAGTCTTCTCACTGGTTGTCAACGGTGATGGCTACAATGGACAAACTGACCCTCTCCCTCACGATGCTAACACAGATGAAGTACGTAAAAACACAACCATAAATATGTATAAGTATGAAACACGCATGGCTTATATGATTGTTAAATGGATTTGCTAGCTATTTGATTGTAGTAACTTAAAGTAAGCTAGGGTGCTGTGTTAACAAAATTCTGCGTTGGTTTGTATTTGTACGAAGTTATTTTTTTGCAAAGATGCAACATTAGCTAGCTGTCTCACACCCAAACCTCCCAGATCAAGGCAGCACTAGAGGCAATATCAGGGATTGGGACAGTCACAGTGACCAACGGACCCCACCTCACTTCGGACCGTTACCAAACGGGATGTCCCGGAAGATTGATTCATGTCCAGTTGGACGATCTGGCAGGAGACCAGCCAATGATCTCGGTGGTGGCTGAAGGTCTGAGTGGGGAAAGTGTGAGTGTGGTGGTGAGTGAAGGGGTGCCCGGAGGAATGATGGCCTCTCCAGTTCCTGGACACATGCTGCAGACTGTTGAGAAAACTCCTCAGGTTTGCCAGTTTAGATAAAACCCTTGGTGCATATGCGCAGTGGCACTTGGTTTGTAAGTGTGTGTGTGTGTGTCCCAGACCATCATTTGGCCGTACCGCACATGTGTGTATACTTACGTGTGTGTGTTTCTAGTGTGCCGAGGGTTTGCACTTTCATTTTTTTCATGAGGGTAGTATCTCCAACTAATCTACAAGAAGGAAATTGTGAGGCATATAACAAATGGCGGGCAAGAACACGATATAAGCTGCCTTCAATACTGCCTGCCTAGTATAGACGACGTTAGAAGGGACCAAGTAAATAGAGAAAGTACACGAAAGTATATCTTAATAACCATGGCTATAGAGCATTCTCTTTGTTCTTATTTAGGTCCACGTAAAGGTTAAAGGTCAGCTTGCGTCATGCAGTGGAGACCACACCCTCTACCACCAGTTTAACCCCATTTCTGACGACACTGACTTCTGTTCCTTCTCCTACTCTCCTCCCTCCACCCCCCACGTCACCTCCGTCTCACCAACCACCGCTGGAGTTGGTGATACTGTGACTATCATGGGGTCAGGGTTCACAGACGATTCCAGTCTCATTCTGGTTCTGTTTGGAGACGTACCGTGTGACGTGACGAGTGCCAGTAGTGACGAAGTGACGTGTGTGTTGGAAGAAGGAACAGCCGGCCAGAAACAGATATTCCTTCAGGTGATTGCTGGGTGTGTTTGCTTTGCCCTTTGCCTTTCTACCACACATGACACTTGCACATGAAACAACTTTGCAGAAGTTCATGCAACTTATAATGTGTGGGTGGAACAGTCCTGCAAAAAGCAACGAAGTTGCAGAGGCATGCCTGGCTTTGCACACACTATCATACCCATACATTTTAAGATTGTCTCGCGCAACAAAGTTGCATCGTTTCTTGACCAAGTCATGTGACTATCATGTGTTGTTTTCCAGGTTGTCGATGGTAATGGTGGAATTGCAGTCATTGGTGATTCAGTTGTTCCCTTAGAGTTCACAGTAACCGTTGACACTGTGCTTCCTGGAGAAGGCAGTCAGATTGGTGGAACTGAAATCACAATAACTGGAATCGGATTTGCTCTGACTTCATACGATTTCGATGAAGGGAATCCTGGGAATGAAATTCTGTTGGATGCATACCAACGGGCTGTGGTTGCCAATGGCGATGGTTGCAGTGGGGAATGGCGGAATGTGGTGGCATTAGGAGGGATAGAGTGTGTTATAATTACTGCTGATCACATGACCATCACATGCATCACTCCGGCAAATCAGAATCCTGGAACCACCGATACATATGATGTAACAGTCGGAGTAGTATGTTCTGATGTTGGTTCCACCCCAGCAAGTGGAGTAGCAGCTGGAGGATTCACTTACTCAAACCTTCTTACTCCAGAAGTCATTGGAGTTACCCCAGACCAGGGGTCTATTCATGGAGGAAATTCCATCACAATTACGGGAACCGGTTTTTTAGAGGACCCCTCACAATTATCCGTGAAGGTATAAACATAGCTACATACTTTTTTCGTATTGCATACTCTCATGCTTTAGCAAAGGACATTTCCTATAGTGTATTCCTAAAGTGTAGCAATTTCATTGTCTGTAAGTGATGTCCAAAAGCCTTATTCTATCCATCACCTAAAGTGAAAACCTGGTCATGCCTTCTCCGCTATCTTTCGTGTTTCTGTCTCACAGCTTGGCGATGCTGAGTGTAGCATCACGTCTGCCACCTCAACATCAATCACCTGTACAAGCCCCGCCTACCCCGGTGGTGTTGTCCGCGTGTCAGTCACGGTAGAGGGGAAAGGACTTGCGGCTGGAGATGTCGAATACGAGTTTGTGTTCTCCATATCTTCCATATCTCATTGTGAAGGGTGAGCATATTATCACTGCTTATACCTGCTTGTGAAATGTGGTTATGCTTACGTTCATGCACATTTGTGCTGATCTTTTCATTCATTAACCTTGCAGCCACTGTATGGTAATTTTCAATCAATGAAACTCACGCATGGGGATACTTTCTTTGTCATAATGTTCCCACCAACCTTTGAGCTGAATACTGAATGTTTTTTCCACTCACACCAGTTCCCTAATGGGTGGACAGTTGCTGGACATCAATGGAGAAGGTTTTGGCAGTGATTCGTCGAAGGTGGAAGTGTCTCTGGGCAGCTATCCCTGCCAAGTAAAGGAGATGTCCAATACACTCATTCGTTGCATCACATCCACGACGACAGACACCCACATTATTGACAACAATGCGTGAGTCAAATAGAAATGAGAAACTATAGATTAACTTCACGAGGCTTTCGCATTAACATTATAAAATGTGTTTGGTCTACAGCACCAGTACGGAGTATGGACTTGGGTATGTATGGAACCCGGACGAGATCACAATCCGAGTCGGAGACTCCGTTCTCTGGAACTGGTACGGGACTTCCTTCACACGGCGGCTGAGCGTGCAGCAAGTGGCAGCAAGGGGAGATACAGTGCCCATGGAGGGAGGGTTTGCCTCAGAGAGCAGTGTTCGTGGAAGCTTCAGTCATCAGTTCACAGAAGTCGGAGACTATTACTTCATTGCTGGAGGTTATGGGCATATTGGTAAGATTCAGTAGTCCTTGCTTTCTCACTATCAAAGTATATTATGTTGGGGACCGATTTAAAACGGGCTTCTGGTTTTGCAACATTGTACGCACTATCATCAATCACTTACCAGGATTTTTCATATCTGAACTACATACGTACATAGTGGCTGCTGCAGACGTAACCCAAATAGTGGCTCCTGGTAACATTATTTTGGACTCTGCCACTTTATTTGAACAAATTGTCTCACTGGCCACTAATTTTTTGGGCCCCCAATAATTTTAGCCACCCCTGCACTGCACTGCACAAACCCCTTTTTGCCACCCCAGGTTTCTATGGCACCGTCCACGTGGTACAACAGGCGGACATCTCCGTTCCTCTATCTCTCACCGCCAACTCTGTTCCCATGGAGATACCTCCCTCTGCAACCTGTGGAGAGTCCACGCCCCCTAACCCCTTCACCCACTACACATTCTCCGTCTCACACACCCCACTAATTCTCCCCGGGGGGACGCAAGTATTCTCCTACGTGGACGAAATCGCAGTGGTCAGTTCAGGGTTGTCCAGTACAGCGGACCACAACCTATTCACAATTGGGGGTTTCCCCTGTGACCATTCCACGATGTCATCTACAACTCTGACTCAACCCGACTTTACTGGTCCCGCCAATAACGCCATCACTTACCAAGAAGGGATGGAAATTATTTATTGCGAGGTTTATGAGGTGGATCCAGGGACATATCGTCCCATCCTCCACGTCGCCGGGAAGGGGTGGGGCTTGGCGACCAGTGTCGTGGAGATTCTCCCCTCTGTGACGATCGATGCCGACCAGGAACAATTCGGATCGTTACGAGGTGGAAAGCTTCTCCATATTTCCACAGAGGGACTGTCATTTGACGATGTCACGAAGCTAAGAGTCGAGATTGGCAACACCCCATGTGCTGTGCAGCTAATTGTAGGTAATGAGGATCTGTACTGCCTCACTCAACCTGCTCGTGACGATGGGTATTCCTCCATTGTTAAAGCCCTCAATCCTATTGCCTACTGGACTTTGCAAACCGATTACCATGATATCAACGGTCGATATTTGGGATCTGATGGTGGGGATACCATCTTCAGAAACGATGGTAGCATTGGCAGTAGTGGAGATGGTAGTGTAAGAGGCAACGTGATAGGTAGAACGCAGGGCATATCTGGGAATTCACTGACCGACCAAGCTGTTCTGTTCAACAACTCTTACGTTGAGATTCCATTCCACCCCGAATTCGCCCGGCTTGAGGGGTTTGAAATGGGGCTGTGGCTGAAGATTGCACCTACTGAAGAAGAGACAGATTCCAGTGGATCTCTAATGCCCTCCATTATGGGATCTGCGATTGGATCAGGTGAGGCGGCAAGTGGAGGCAGTCTTTCTCCAGAATATCGTGGACCGTACCAAATCGTAGTTGACTTTGCTTCGTACGTCGACGGCACAGCTGGTGGGTATGTGATTGTCATCAACCCATGTGGCCAGCCCGAGTTCTGGCTGGCAAGTGGTCACTCCCACCATAGTTTCTCGGGTACCGAGAACTGTCCTCTTTTATCCCTCTCCGACTGCTCACCTTCGACCCCCGAAACTTGTACAGGATTGTCGGTGGTTGCCACGGGCTACCTTCCGACTGGCGTGTGGAATGTGATCAGGTGCGGTGATTGCAATCTTGGAACGGACTGGGGACTTGTATCGGTGGGATTGAACCCGAACTCAGGTGCAGGGGAGGATCCTCCCACAATAAATCAAGTATTCCATTTCAACAACAGACTCGTGGGTAGTTTTGCTACTACGTACTCCCCTCCACTTGAAAGGCCCCTACTAATTGGCGGTACAGATAGACTTCCAGGTGGTGGAGGGTTGGAAGGGCCAACTCTATCTTCTTCACATCTGCCCCTGACTGCGTTTTTGGGTCATATAGACGAAGTGAGCATGTACGATCGTACTCTAGAAGGTGAGAAGATTGCTGAACTCCACATGTATGGGTCAAGTGGCAAGCAGAAGATTTGGATCCGCGTGGAACCTGTGGATGGTATCAGTCCCGGACACAACCTTGATACAGTGTTGGAATGGAACGGTGCCTTTGATGAAGTTCAGAATGTGGACTGGAACGGCGTCAGTGATGCTGAAATGGAAATTGATGAAGGAAAAGCACTCCAATTTAATTGGAGCGGGTGGGTATAATACTCATGTACTCAAGTAACTTGTTTTGATTACAGCTTTCTTGGAATTAGCTACATAATTTTTTAGCACCTGAATAAGGAATATCTTTTGTTTCCACAGTCTAAAAGGGGTGTGGCAAGTCACCAAGGAAACATACGAATCATGTGACATAACCAACGAGCCAATAAAGGAGTGGTCTCCCCCGAGACTAGGAGGGAAGGTTGTTGTGTGGATGAACCGTGGTCAGACACATTACTTCATTGACCCTGTGGCCGGGAAATGCCTTAGTGGCTCTAAAATAAAGGTACGTACATAGAATAAGGGTGGTTGTTGTATTGCCCTGTCGCATTGTGCTGCGGAGATAGAAATGGATTCTATCCTCGCAACGTGGGAAAGTGGCAAGGTGCAACGGGGCAATGCGACATTGTGAACCTAGCCTAGATCATTCTCTCACTTTGTTCTTTGCTGACCTGTATGCCTGCTGCCACCTAACTCTATCTACTTCGTTCATGCAGGTCAAAGTGGGTCAAGTGCAAGTGGTACAATGGACCATAGACACAGTCTATTCTGAGATCTCCATTCCCCAAGGCTCCGGTCTCCTATTCCAGTGGTCCGGGTCCACGTTCCATGACCTCGCTGAGATGTCATCTCCTCAATCCACTTCTCAAGACTGTACATTTGTGGGAAGCACAGCTCAATCTCTCGGAAAAGTAAGGATTCGTCTGAATGTGGTTTAGTACATAGCTACTTGAGAGATCTATTCGACAAAAGAATTAATTGTTGGCACAAAAAAACGATTCATCTGATTGTGGTTTAATACGTAGATATTTAGCTACTCTATTCAGAAAAAAGAACTGAACCGAAAACCATGGAATTCCTTAAAGCTTAAAGCCTTTATAAGCTGTATCTGTATTACAAGCTCAGCTTTCTATGCACTGCAAGCAGCTACAACTAAGATTGTCATGATGTGCAGGTTGTAAATGCTTGGCAAGCCACTCCCACCACCTCGGGAGAGGTTTCTGTCACAGGACTGTCTCCCGGCACCCACTACTTTGTCTGCTCTCTTGGTAACCACTGTCGGAGAGGGATGAGGGTTAACGTGACCGTGACAACAGAGGACCAACAAGATGATGGCAGTAGTACCACGGGCACGGTATGCAATGTCACAACCTTTTCTTTTCAGATAAATGTGCTTTACCAATAACTGTGGAACCTCTGAACATGGGGCCAACGATTTGTGTCTTGTAGAGAGGTCGTCCCTATCTCGGAGGGTCCCTTATCAGAGGTTCCACTGTATCCCCCTCCCAACACAAACTGGTCAAAACTGACAGTCTCTATAAACTGTGACTTCGTACGGTCTGTTGTGACAAAATGCCATTGCATACCTCTCTTCCCCAGATTTCACAGAACCATGTGGTGGTGTGGAAGATCCAGGACTATTCGCCTCTGACCATCTTACAGGGAGACAATCTCACTTTCACTTGGGAGGGTTTCCACTCTCTGCATCAGGTCAGACGTCAATAAGTTTCATTGAGTTAGCCCAAATTTTTGTACATAAAAAATAACGTTTATACAAGCATTCTTTGAAGTTTCAGATGCATTCTGTGAATATACAAGTGTGTTTTCCCCCATCTTCAGCCTTGCATGAAATTTCTGAGTCAGTATAGGCAAAAATCCGGCCTCGACAATTCATTCCACAGTTCAGTTCAATCTAGACTGCAGAGTGTCGTGGGTTCGAATCCCACCTAGGGCAACTCTTCTTCTTTTCTTTGAATGAAAGAACTGTCCTGGGTGTAGTTGACCTGTTTGCCTTGCCTTTCTACCTCGCTACCTCGTTGCTGAGACATACAAGCCTTCTTTGCAGTTTCAGATGCATTCTGTGAATATTATAATACAAATGTCTTCTTTGCCATGTTCAGTCTATTGCTGAGTCAGTATAGGCAAAAATCAGGCCTCAACAATTCATTCCACAATTCAGTTCAATAACTCGTATTTTATAGGTTGATAAATCTACTTACGAGATGTGCAACACCAGTGCTAATCCAGTCCACATTTGGGGTGACCCAAGTGTTGATACTGCCGTTCTGTTAACCGATCTCCAACCGGGAGACTACTTTTTCATCTGCTCCATTGCCGGGCACTGTGACGCCGGAATGAAGATTGCGGTGACGGTGTTGCCAAGCGACAACCACCCTACACTGCTGAATCCAGTCGCAGCTGTTTGTCATTCGGCCGGCGGCTGTTCATTTGAGTACGGTTCACACCTAACTCCGTACATTCTCAATGTACAGGTAAATTAATGGAGCTCAACAGACGTGTATATATATTTACTTCACTGAAGCACATGTATACAAGTAGAGTTTAATTATTTCACATGCTGTTAGATACATTTTTGCCCTGCAGCCTTCCAGTGGTGCAGTGGGGACTGAGATTGTCATTATTGGTTACAATCTCAATTACGACGGGTCCACAAACCAGATTCTGATAATGGTCGGACTCTCCCAGTGTACAGACATAACGGAAGAAGCTCCCGAGACAGAAACAGACTCTTTCAGATGCACAGTAGGTGAAAATGAAGCCGGTTATCACTTCGTTGATTTCACCAATCACTTGGGACGAGCTGCCGTCGCCCCATCTGAAAAAGTCCCCGGCCCCCACAGGAATATATCCGAACCCCACGGACCACACTCCCCCTACCCTCAATTTCTGCTTCTTCCGGTCTTGTCCTCCATTTCTCCGAGTATGGGAAGCATTCATGGCGGTACTAGGGTGACCCTTGTTGGTTCTGGGTTCAGCCCCTCTCCAGGACGAATGAGTGTATTGCTCGGAGACTCTGAATGTGCAATTACAAGCTCCACTTACTCTGGGATAGTGTGCATTACAAGTGAGGGAGAGGAAGGAGACGGTGAAGTCATGGTGAGTGTGAATGGATATGAATCCGACACAAGTGCTACATACGCATACTCTTCATCTTCTACACCAACTCTTTACTCGGTCGACCCTGCAACACATGTCTTCAGTGGAAGCAATATTCATATTTCAGGTGAAAACTTTGGAACCGATCTGTCATCTGTTAGCGTCCTCATTCTGAGTGGAATTGAGGAATGGGAGTATGACAGTACGCCTACGGAATCCTTGTGTGAAGTACAGTCAGTGACTGACACAACCATCACCTGTTCTCTACCGGTGAAAGCAGCAGGAGAACATTACCTGGTTGTTCACGTGACAGGCAAAGGCCTTGCTACCTCCGGCCTCACAGTCTCGTATGAGCTAACTTTCACTTCCTTCTCCCCTGTTGCATGTGGTAATGGCGGGGGCGTGGAAATCACAATCACTGGTTCTGGATTCCCAGACTTTGACGTCGGTGATGAAACAGAAAGTGACGAGTCTTCGATTTTTGTTTCGTTCTGCTCAACTGAATGCGAGGTCATTAGTTCTTCACTCACTGAATTGAAGTGTGTGTTGGACACTCCCAGTGAAGATGCCAGCTCAACGTGCAATGATATTAGTGTGACGTACAACGACATGAGAACGATAGCCGCTCAGAGTTTCGAATTCCGTGATGACCTCACTCCAATTGTGACCGATATCTCGCCGCTTATTGGTGGGACGGCAGGTGGGACTCTTGTTACTATTCTCGGAAACAACCTCCTACCACCTGCAGCAACAACACCAAATGAAGACGACGTCATTGTTACTATAGATAGCGCAGTGTGCGTCTGGTACGGTATTGGACTGGTTCCGTCGCAAACATCAATTGAGTGTCGTACAAGTGACCACAGAACCACTCCACTGGCAGAGGTGAAGGTGTTTGTCAGCGGCCGGGGATTTGCACTCCCTGAAACTCCAGACACACAGATTTGGTTCCAGTACATTGACCGATGGTCCAGCCCCTACACCTGGGGAGAAGAGGGCCAACTCCCAAAAGAGGGCGACTCGGTTCTAATCCAGAAAGGCCAGATCGTATTCCTGGACGTCAATACTCCGGTTCTGAACCTGATTCTTGTGGAAGGGGAACTTGTTTTTGAGGATTCACAGGACCTACACTTGCAGGCAAAGTACATCTTCATCAATACTGGCAGACTGCAGGTGAGTGGGGGAACATTCTTTGGTACAATGGAAGGTTCATATGTAGTGGCTGTTTATCGAGAATGAGAATTAATACTGTATGTACCTCACTCAGGTTGGGACAGAGGATTTGCCCTTCCAACACACAGCTAGGATCACTCTCCATGGAAACGTGCGAGACCCAGAGATACCCATATACGGAGCCAAGGTTAGAGATACTCCTAAAGGGAATGTGTCGGGCTTAATTTAGAAACTGTTACTGACAATGAAAACTTAATTGCATTCTTGCACTGGGTCCTATCGTTTAGTACACTCTTTAACACTTCTAAATTTAAGCCCTTATCTACTGCCACATTCCTTTTAAGATAAACCATGGCACATTTAAGAACTTTGTCTTGTGTGTACAGGTATTGGGGGTCAGGCAAGGACACCTAGATCTTCACGGTCGTCCAAGACTGCGGACGTGGACCAGACTGGCCACCACTGCCAACGTCGATAGTGAAACCTTGGTTCTGACCGAAAGTGTGGACTGGACACCAGGAGACAAAATAGTAATCGCAGCAACTGGAAAGGACGGAAACGAGACGGAAGAGAATGAAATTGCTTCAGTCTCTGACACTGGAACTGTCCTCAATCTCGTGCATAAGCTTGCATACAAACACCTGGGAGTCACAGAGGTTTTCGAAGGCGGCCACTCCATAGACATGAGAGCAGAAGTGGGTCTCCTATCTCACAATGTTATTGTGGAAGGGTCACGGAATGTCGGTGGAATGGGACTCGGGGAAGACCAGTATGGGGCTCAGATCATGATACACCGGAGTGGCCCCGATCCAACGCCGATTCGGATCGAGCACACTGAGGTGCGATATGGAGGTCAGGCATTTCGGCTGGGGAGATACGCAATTCATTTCCACCTGACTGGATCGATGAGCAGTTCGTACGTGAGAAACTGTGCAATTCATCACTCTAACAACCGAGCTCTAACGGCACATGGGGTTCACGACCTTTTGGTGGAGGGGAACGTGGCTTATGACATCAAAGGGCACACATTCTTTGTGGTGAGTCAGCAGAAGCATACCTAACAAGATCGGTATAATTCAAGTCAGTCATATTAAGTGAGGGTATGATTGTGTTGCCCCCAGTAGGAAGAGCGCTCTGTCTTGACTGCAGAGTGTCATGGGTTAGCAAAATAGAATCTTGAGCTTTGTGAGTGTAGTTTTGATATTGCCTTTGGTTTGGTTTGCGGCTGTTTACATGTCACCATTAATGTCCTATTCCATTCCAGGAGGATGGAATAGAGACCAACAACAGCTATATTCATAACCTCGGAGTCTTGACTCGTGGTTCTTCGTCTCTACTGAACACGGACCAGATCCCTGCCACCTTCTGGATCACAAACCCGCAAAACAAGTTTGTCGGGAACGCCGCCGTCGCATCACGAGGATACGGGTTTTGGTACGACTTGGATCGGTTCCCATCTGGGGCGTCTTACACTACGCATGTCTGCCCCAATAGAGAACCATTTGGACAGTTTAGCAATAACACCGCCCATACTTGCAATGAGTTTGGGCTGAGAATATGGGAGGTATACACGCCTTATGAGAACGGGTGCTGGGGCGGTAATCCATCCAATGCAACACTGTACAATTTCACGACTTACAACAACGGTATCCACGGTGTTGAGTTCTCGGTCGTCGGTAATGTGATTGCCGATGGTTTCAAGATAGCAGACAACGTGCAGACTGGGTTTGAGATCACAGAGGCTCTGGGAGACTGGAGGGAAGCTGTCCTTCAGGTACGTTGGGACTACTTATAGTTACAGGTCCTTTCGTCTCAATAATGATACCCAAATTTCGTGTATTTTCTCACACGCAGAATTCACTGATAGTTGGCCACACCTCCCACGACTCTCAAACAACAGGCGTCAGAACGGGTATTAGGGTTCAGAACCTGGGGAGATTCGTCGTATCGAATGTCACCTTTGTGAACTTTGATGTCGATCAAATGGAGTGTCTGCGTGCGTGCTCCCACTGCAAAGTGCGCGAGGGAGGAATGCAGGTGTGGTTCGAGCAGCTGAAGTTTTATAACTCACCGAGAAAGGCAGCTTTTCAGTGGGAACACGAGGTAAGTTCACGTACAGCAGAACACGCTGGTTAAAGTAATACACCGTAGTGAATCAACTCTAGGGTTTTATGCAATGGTTCACCTGAGATCCGGAAGTCATTAGGGCCGAATTAAGCGCAATATGGTGTTAGAGAGTATACCATAATCCAGTCGTGATTACAGAGGTGTCCACTGGAAGTTTGTCAACCTCAACAACTTCACAATATCATTTCCTGCCTGAACAAAGGTCCTTACAATTACTCCAGGTTCTGTTCAGAGATCTGGATGGATCTCTGACTGGTCACCCAGAGGGAGGCTGGGTCCTCCCCAACTCAGCCCTCCTTCCTCCCACCCACTGCTCCCTCTCCGTCCCCGAGTTCTCCGGCAACTCACAGGTGGGAGGGGCCAGTTGCACCAGCGACGTGTACTTCCTGAGACTGGCATGGAACCAAGCCCAGCCATGGGTATGGAAACATCAAGCCTGGAAACAACGCACAAGTGCTAATAGTGCTTTTACTCAACAATAACTCTTGCTCTTTGTATGTTTTATTGAACTTTTTCTCTTTCTTAAATGTGTATTTAAATTTCTCCCAGGTAACCTTGACTGGAGTGTCAGTAAATGTAACCAATGAGTTTGGTTTGAGTGTTGTGCCATGGCGACACTATCGACGTACTCACAGAAACGGCTACATGTGCACTCTCCCAGCCACATACCCCCATACCATTGTCTGGGATCTGCCCATTGAGCACGAGGTCGACACTACATTTTACAGTGCAGGTATGTTTCGCTGAAGGAGAAATGCGGATCACACAAAGGATAGTAAAGGAGACAGAAAGACTGGCATACTAAAATTAATGCCACAATACACTATCATGGACACTTGGGCAGCTCTTTATTTTTCCTTGGAAAAAAATAGCTGACCTAGGTGTAGTTGATTTGTTTGTTGTGCCTTTGCCTTTCTACCTCATAGTTTTCACTTACATACTTTGTTCGAGGTTAGGTGCGAATCTGTTCGTAGAGAAGGTTCTGCTGTATACAGGAAACTTTGACCGTACTGTATGTTACACAGGTGTCTACAATATTCGTCCAACTGATCACGTGACAATCACCCATCAGTTTGTTCAGCTACCAGACCATGTCAACCTGGGAGGCAATTACGAGCCAACTGAGAGTGGGCAGCTACCTCAGTACGGAGTCGACCCCCATCTGTACGTACATGAATGATGTTCTGAGTGTGTCAAGTTTCGGTGCCCACGATTATTGTGCATTTCACCATTACTATATATACATACATGATTTGGTGGCGAAGCAAGTTCACCTAATCATCTGAACTTTGCGATATTTGTTTGCAGACCCACTGTCCATAAAATTGGCATTCGCTTTTGTTTACCAATGATGTGTTATAAATAGCTATGCCTATAAGATTCTCTATTTCATTTTGCAGGTCATGGCATATCAACAATAACACTAACCATACAACAAACGTGACATACCTCATCACTGGTGAGAGTACAGCTGAGACAGCTCCCGAGTACTCGGATGTCCTGTACACCTACAAGTACGAACCTTGTCCTAGAGACGGCTGCATCGTCATTGACGAACATACTGGACCATATGAGTAAGCCAGCCAAATGTCATTTCAATATAGCGTTAATTCCTTTTCATATCCCTCAATTTCTTTCCTTTAGCGTTAGTTAGGTACTCTGCAGTAGTTTCACTATTTTTTCCCCTCGTCCACTCTATTTTCCTTAACCTATTCATAGCAACATTATGCAGTACACTTTCACTATCTGTTCTTTCTTCTTCCATCCATTCTCTCCGTTTCTGTTTGTTCTTTAACGCCTCCTTCCACTACAATTCTTTGTTATTTCCGTTTTTCAGAATCAGAAGGTGGAGTGACATTGATTCCTGGACCAACGGGGAGCCCCCTGCTGCGGGAGATGATGTCACAATTCACCCACAGTGGCTCATGATTGTAGATGTCTCTCCGCCTCCACTCGGTCGTGTCTTCGTCCATGGAGCATTGGAGTTCGAGGATGGGAGAGACTACAACTTTACTGCCAACCTGGTGGGCTTTGAAGAGGGGTTTTAGCTTTTTCAATCTTGAATGCTGAGCTTGTATTTTTTAAAGTGAAGATAGGTTAAACTGCAAGGAACAGCCCCAAGCGTAAAAATGCTGGGTCCTGCTGTCAATTTTTCTCAGGCCATTTGTCAAAACTATGCCATCTCACACCCTGATCCTTCCGATTACAAAGGCCATACCAACACAACAAACCGTTATGATAAAAAAAACACCTAAGCTACGTACCTACTTAGTTTAATATATCACAACTAAATTTTCATCAATGGTCTTTTTTCAATGTATCAACGTTGTGATGAATGTTGTGATGAAAAACTGTAATATGCTCCACTACACCTTAGATTAAAATGTTTCTTCTTCTTTTTCATACTATATGCTAGATTCTCATCCATGGTCCAAATTCACGAATGAGAATTGGAACTGCTGAGTCTCCATTCCAATACCGAGTAAATCTGACCCTTACCGGTCGTCGTAGAGACAGCATTCTCCCGCTAGCATCTGGACTGATACTTGGATCAAAGACCATTGGTGTGTTTGGAAATGTAAGTCAATGCTGGGGGATGAGCACGGAAAGCTCAATGATCGGCTTATGAGTGTGCATATCCCATGCTATGATTAGTTCATAATAACCAAGCTCTCCAACAGATAGACTTTGACAACTCTATAAACACAAATCTTTAGCACGGATAGCTTTCATGACAAAGCAAATCTGATTGTTGTATCTTCTTCTACTATTTTAGGTATCGATGCATGGAAGGCCACGTGAAGTGACCTGGACACGTCTCTCGTCGTCAGCCATGGCTGGGTCTTCAGTCATCGGTGTAGAGACCAATACAAAGTGGCTGACTGGTGACCAGATAGTTATTGCTCCCTCCGGCTGGGGAGTCACCGAGGGAGAAATCAGAACCATCACTGCCATCTCTGGACAAGGTGGGCATCTTATATCATTGCTCTTCACCCTTTAGCTACAATATCTGAACTCTCCTTATGTATGACCACATAGGCTTGGGTTATGTGAAGCACTATATACTTTGTTTCTGCAGAGATCACACTTAATGAGCCTCTTGAGTATAGTCACAAAGTTTACGATTTCCTGGACCCCTCGGATCTGAATGACCCCTCAGAAACCCGCTGGTGGAACGACGGTGGTCGCATGGCCCCCGAAGTTGGTCTCCTCTCCCACAACATTGTGATTCAGGGTGGCGAAGACGAGGCCGAGCCACTGGAGACCAACCACTACGGTTGTCGTCTATTGGTTGGTCGCTACCGAGCAGGCTCTACGGTCTATAGTGGTCTCCTTTGGTTGGATTCGGTAGAGTTTCGTCACTGTGGCCAGGGTGGCTACTTCTCCCCACTTGATCCACGCTACTCCATCGCCTTCCGCAGTAGTCGTGAAACATCAAACGGTAGCTATATCCGTGACTGCTCCATCCACCACGGCTACAACACTGCCGTAGGTGTCCACGCCTCAAATGGTGTCACAGTCTCGGGGAACGTGGTATGGAGAACTGTTGATTCTGCTTTCAAGATCGGCGGATTGGAAAACAAGGCTCTCAACAATCTAGCAGTCTACACAACCACTGTACAACCAAATAGACCTCCTGATAATCATGCGGTTGACTTTCCCGCCTGTTTCGATGTGGATGCCGGGAACGTTGTCCGTGGCAATGCAGCTGCTGGAAGTACTCGTCTTGGGTTCAGACTGGCGGGAGAGCCATGTCTTGAGGGTAGACAACCTCCAAGCTATGAACAGGTGAGCACTGCTTATTGAGCGCACCCTTACACCATCAAATCTGCAAAGTTTCACAGTTAATTTTGAGCGTACTCCTTCTACTTGCACCAACACGTGAATATTTTAGCAAAAACTTGATTCTTCTCCCACATTTTCCCTCCACAGGCTCTGATAAGAAACAACACGGCCCACAGCTGCCTGGCCGGTCTTAATATCCTAGGCCTCCCCACCGACTGTACAGCAGTGACTGGGTTCACAGCCACCCACCAGTGGAACTACGCCATCTTCTCCTCCACGGCCAGCTCTCTGGTGGTGGCCAGAGTCAGGGTCTCGGTGGGGAAGGTGGGGCTGAATCTGAACGTGTTTGGTCCCAATCCAGTCCAGCACTTCATTGGAGGGAAAACCATCTCTTTGTCAGGTGGGGTTTGAGTAGGAGAGATTTTACAAAGAACAAGCAAAGCACACTGTATGAAGTAATAAACTTTCTAAAGGTACATACATACGTCATTGACTTAGAAAACCTATAAGATATACTCCTATAGGACTACACTAGTCATTGACATATGGCATTCAATGACTGCTATAGCCTACGTATAACAGTAGAATAAGCATTTAAAAGCTTTTCTGTTTCTCCCAGACTCAATCATTATTGGAACACTGCCCGAAGACACTTGCTCTGATTCTCAGCCAAGTTGGACTCCGGGCAGTTCTTCCATCAAACTGACCGAGCCAAGTTTTGGAGTGATGATGTCGTCTTTCAATCAGGCCAGGAGCAAGCTGGATGGGACTGCGCAGTGGCACCTCAGTAAGACAAAATTCTTCATTTTTCTTTTTTCAGCTTGCCATTGTCAGGCATATCACTACTCACTGTAGTGTGTGCCTGAAACTTTAGCCCTTTGGAAGCCATGGTATCTCCTTAAATAAGCAGAAATTTATGTATAAAGTATTAGCACCTAGTATTATAGCCATATATAAATTCTTATGGACTTATGGAGTCTCTGGGCATATATATAATTCCCGTGGCTGGCAAAAGTGAAAAAAATTCTGTTTCATAATTATTTTAACTTCACCCGTGTATTTTACACATCTTATTTCCCCAGTGAAAGGCTATCCAGTCATAGATGGTGCTCTTCTAACGTCTGATGTGGTGTTTGCTCGATTCACGGCCAACTCTGAGCACTGTCCGTACAAAACGTTTGCCATCGGGAACAACCCACAGAGTCCTGATGCAGTTCACCCTGCCGTCATGACAACAACCACTATCCTCAACTGCCACCCGGACTCTCTTGTCTTCTTCCATGATCCTAATCCAGATTGGATCAACCAAGAGGTACACACACCTCGTTCTTTTATTCCCACATTTTTGAGTAGGGTTTATATTTTTCTTTCTCCTTTCTGTCCTGCTTCACTCTTGTTGGTGCTGCCTTACTCCTCCAATTTTCTCTTCCTTCGCACTCATTTTCTTGGCATCATTTTTCCCTTTATCTTGATTCCAAGTAGATCACCAAGAAAAGTATTCCCCCATTTTATGCAAAGTGACATTCCTTTCTCTTTTCTGTTGCTTTACTCTCTCCTTTTTTCACTCTTGTCGCACACATTTTTTGTCATCATTTTCCCTTTACATTGATCCCAAGTGGATCAACCGTATTCCCACATTTTATTTGTAGTGATATTCCTGATATTACTCATTGTCCTTTTTTGTCCTGGTGTTGCTCTACTCTCTTCTCTTTCCTAATTTTCACTTTTGTTGGACACACATCACTTTTGCCTCTACCCTGATTTTGTCCATTTTTCTCTCTCTATATCAGGACTGTATTGATATGGATTGTGATGGACCCAAGCATGCTCTGATTGATGACAGAGACGGGACATTCCTGGGAACACACCCACTGAAGGGATCAGTTGTACCATTTGCTGAGCTCAGGTATAGGGGGCACCGTCGCTGACTCATTACAGCACGAAAAGTTGTGAAAATACTCAAACGGGAACCACAGCAGTAGGGTCATAGAACACAGCACTGGGTTGAGCCACCAGTGTATGTAAACACATGAGACATCTCAACTAACTAAGCCCCCAAGCATTACCTCCCAGTTACCCAGATAATTGGGCTGTTGATTTCATCATAAAGTCTAGTCTTCCTATTCACTGTATTTACTAAACACATCATTATTTCCAAAAGTATACAAGCCTAACCTTTCTTGGCAAATTCCTACTATCACCTCAGGTTTGCTGACTACAGTCACAGACTGCCTGTGACATGGGTAGAGAACAGTGGGGAAGGAGACACTCCCAGTCAAATCCTCCAGGACAGGGGAGAGGGTGTTGCCAAGGGCCAGCCAAGGTGAGAGGAACTCTCTGTTTCAAGCGGTTTTGATGGGGGAGGCAACATTGATAGAGTATGAAAACCCTGTACAACAATCGCACGAGATAACCAGCGTCTTTGTCTCTTCACTGCGGGAGACCATTTCTTTGTTGGGTAACTTCCAAAGTCAGATACCAGTATAATACCATGGTTTTGGCGGTTTATATGCGTATTAAATTACCTTTGGATCATCATGGACTAACATACGTAAAGCTTAACCTTCTGTGCACTATTTATTAATCTGTTTTCAGTGTATATATTCTTTGCTAACTATGATGTTCTTCTACCAGTGTTAACTGTGAATGGAAGGAGGCGTGGAATGCCTACAGCTGTCATTCTCTGGACCATCGTATTCTGGTGATTGAGTCAATGGATGCTGACACAGAGACGAGACGGCTGTCTCCACTGGCTCTCGACGGAGGAGACACGGGGCACGGGCCATACACTGATCTCCTCAACGGACCAATGGACCATGGTTAGAGCCAGGGAGTGTAGCACAGATAATATGAATGATACATTTTTGTCGAGCAAAGTGAACATTTTGATTTTCGTGCGTTTCACTTGTATTTAGAATCACATTAGGGTATGTGTGAAGTACCAGATGATGGGTCATACGCTACAGGAAAATCAGGCATTCAGAATGCTATAAAGGCAGGCTTGCTTTGCTTGCCAATAATGTATGTAAGTCCAACACAAACTCATTTGGGGCATCTGTAATTTGAGGGTACTACATAGTACGTAGACTACATACGTAGTTTCATCTGCCATAGCAGCACAGAGGCTTGTTTACTATGTAATATGCCATAGCCTGCATAAAATAGTGCAGACACTCTAAAATTTTAGCTCAGAGATAGCCTCAGGTCTTTGGGCTGTACATGTAGCTTCTAACGTTTTTCACTGACGTAGCAATCTGATTTCAGTGTATCCCATAGCTAAACTGCACATCCACACTACACTACAGGATGGTGCACCTACTACACTTGCCTGAAAAGACTGTCGACCTTCTTCACCATCGTTGCAATGGGCACAGACTACCACATGTGGATGACAGGGTCCAACCCATCACATCTGAGGTTCCATGTCCTGAACTCAGGTCCAGAGGAAGCTCTGAGGCTCCACATCTGGTACAAGAATCCCCAGAGAAAGGATGTCTATAGAGTAAGTCAGAGAGAGCCTGTCTTTGACAACTACACACACAAACTGTACTGCTGACCTTTAATAGTTCAACCATAATTATTACAGCCTGTAATAGGAGTTTACAGGTTGGTGTACAATACGTTGTTAAAAGTAATAAGTGACATGTACACTTTCATAGTAGCCACTGTAGGATGAGTGTATATAGGAAGTAAAGTAAAAAGCTGTGTACATAGATGTCAGTCGCATTGGGTTGTATCAGCCCTAATAGGCTAGTTCACAATAATATGTCACATTGCCCCGTCGCACTGCTCCGCACAGCGTACTGCCGCGAAGATAGAAATGGATTCTATCCTCGCAATCCGGATGGCACGACAGGGCTATGCGACATATTGCAAACCTAGCCTAACTGGTCATCCATCACTGTAGCTACCTTCTTTTCACCCACACATTCAATGACATTCAGGATGGAGTGTACATCGAGGCGACCAACACAGTGTATCTGGAGAACTCTGCCATTAGAGAGGATGGAGGAGATGAGAACATCCCTCCACTGAGCAACAGCCACTCTGGAGCCAACTTCTTTGATAGGGAGACTCAGATCATGTATCTGGTGAGACTCATGTGATAGTCACATGACACACTCTGGTAATGTTAGTGAATGAAGAGCCATCGCAAGGCAGAGCAAAAGCACATAACTACAACAAAAGAAAGCCCCATGCTGTTGCAGTATATATACTTATATTGTGGCATGATATACATTCACTCTTCCAATTTGTGCAGCTGATAAAGGGGTCATCCCCAGTGGAAATTCGGACAGCTCCTGTCGTCCAGGTAGCGGTGGATCTGGCCGTCTCATTGGACGATTTCTTCGACCCCAATAACCTCATTTCTCGTCTGGCCTTTGTCCTAAAGATTGATCCGTCCACCATCAGAGTTGTCAAGTGAGTCTGATTCTTTTCACATTCTTTTTGCCAATTATTTGACTCGCACCCTTTCCTACACCAAGTTACTTGAATTCTCTGTAATGTGTCTGGCTCTGCTATATTTGATTCTGTTGAGCTTTCATTTGTAATTTCAATACCTACCTGCTGCCAGTATTGGGGTAGACCAAGAAGATGAATGCACACCATTGCTGTTTCTAGCTTTGATCTAGAGATTTAAATCAAGAGTGGTTTAATAAGGTGCTGGTAGATACTCTGTAGCTCACAATAGCATAAAGTGGATGCTGGGTTGGTAAATCCCATGCTCATTGCCTAACACAGCCCACCTAGTCATCTACGTATATTGCGCGATACGTACTGTAACTGCACATACCAACCTGTATTGCTACAAGTAACCTTTAAAAACTACCAGAATTTTCCAATAAGATGGGATACATGAAGCATGGTTAATGAACAGATTTGAGCACGCTGACACCCCCAACCCCATCTGATCACACAATCCCTATAATATTGTTGCCTGATAAATTAATTGGTTTTTGTTCATGTTACCACACTCTCCACATTCTTCAGAATTGTATCAGAGGAGCTAGTGTTCAGAAGACGTCGACAGTTGGACACCTCAGCCAGTCCATCCACCACCACCACCACCACAATTACTCTGGAGTTTGGAGATCTCCCTCAGGTCAACATTACGCAACCCTCGACCCCCTCCGTTGCCCAGGACATCCAGGTGGCCGGGGAAGTGGATGACAGTGTTGATATTGAGGTACAACTCACGCTTTTTTTAATTTCCACCCTAACTCCACCTCTCTCTCTCTCTCTCTCTCTCTTTCTCTCTCTCTCTCTCTCTCTCTCTTTCTCTCTCTCTCTCTTTCTCTCTCTCCCTGACTTTGTAGTGTGCTCACTTCATCTCTTCCTTTAGTACTACGATAGCATCCGCTATTAAAATGTTGCTGTTCACGCGAGTTCGGGTACTTCTGTTTTTCTCCCTTAAGGCCATAATAATATGTATGGGTATGATAGGTCCAGTCCATATACAACTTAATGGGTCCGTGCAATAACAATACTTGAAACGTGTTGCGTGTACCCATCATACCAGTTGAAGTATGAAGCAGCATGTCTCACGCGACAATTACAAAGTTGCACAATGTACATAAGTGCCTTTACACATGTCTCATTCATCCTCTTCCTCTCATTTTTACAGGACGAGTCGGGTTCAGTGAACCAGACACAAAGTGGCAATCCTCTGAACGTGGACCCTCCGCAGTCTCTGGGGGACTTTGTGTCGAGTCTCAATGACAGTGTCAATCAGTACGCACAGCTGGTGGAGACGTACCTGGAGCAGGCCAACCAGACAATGGCTGCCAATTTGATTGGAGACTCTGTCATCAATGCTGTGAGTCTTCAAAAGAACGAGAGAGGAGAGAGTAAGAACAGTAGCACTTCAACCCCAGTTACTGGTACTTACCAAAGCACAATATGTACGCTTGAAAATGGCCGGCTCCATTAATGCATCTATTATGATAAGCGGGTATTTCCATTAGTACAAAATAACCTGGGACTATAGATAAAATGCAAAGAGAGTCCTCTCACTTTGCCTTTCCTTCCTTTCGTCCTTCTTTTCTGGCACTCTGTCATGTTATACATCTTCTCTTGTAAAACATTTAGATACTGACAAATCAAGTGGTTGTTGAGAATGCTACCATCACTGGAGCGGTGGTAGTTCCAGCTCCCCCTCCCCCTCCTCCCTCTCCTCCCGTCATTCCTCCTGAGTATGTCACAACAACAACAACTACTACTAAGAAGGCCGTCCACAAATGTGGTCAACTCAGGCAGAAAAAATGCACAGCCCCTAGTACATATCCAATGCTTTTTAAGTGTCATCATTTTGAATTTTGCCTATCTTATGTACACTGTTACGTAACACAACTGAGATATTACACTTGTGTGTTTTTGCGCTGAAAGTATGTTGCATTCGTTCCAGTATTGAGGTATACTCACTCTCTTCAATAAGGTATGAGAATGTGACTAGTGGTGAGGATGGTGACAATGTGACAGTGGACCTGGTGACTGTGCTCGAGGAGGTGTTGGATATTCTCGTTCAGACAGAGGTCGTTGCCATGGAGACCACCACAATGACTGTCGTCGGGGGAAACGAGAGCATTCGATATGTGATTCCTGACAGAATGGTGGTTACCATGGAACCCAGAGAAGAGGTGCGTCCCTATTATAATAACTCAGCATGCAGTCTGTCCAATTCATTATCGGGTTGTCCCATTACCAGACGGGACACCTGGTTCATGTGAAACTGACAATATATGATGCCAATGGAGAGCGGGTGAGGAACTTGGGACTAGTGACTCCATGGATGTGTCTGGCTTCCCTCAGTCACAGACAAAGACTCCCGGAGAATGAGTTAGTTGTAACTGCTGCTTCTAAAACACACCACTTTCTCTAAATCTACAATGAGAAGTCATCTGTAAATATTAGTTATAGGAGGTACGTATGTTGCTGGTTTATTCGCCTGATGCCCGAGGGCACGAAGTGTTTTGCTTTAGTAGCATAGAGCACCCAAAATTAGTTAAAAGTTGAAGTTTTCAAAATAATAGACAAACTTCCATCCTTCTCCTCCTAAGACTGGCCCAGCTGGAAGGAGAGACGTCAGTACCGTTTGTGGACGGAGTGGCAGAGTTCACTCGTCTGAGAGTCGACCGGAAGGCAGAGGGACTTTCCCTCTCGTTCACCACAGTCCCAGACCGGTTCCAGTCTGAGACCTTGATAGAGTTCAGTGTGGTCCCATTCCATGACACTGTCGAGAGGAAACAGGTCTCATTCCTGTTGTCTGGTGTCCTGGTGCCAGACTCGGTGGAATGGAATGGGGACGAGGTAATCCAACAGGTAGTGAGACAGGTGGGCGTGGCACTCGATGTAGACCCGTCCCGGATCCAGGATTTGACTCTCCAGGAACTGGAATGGGTATGCGTATCATACTGTTTACTTTAGATCTTCTTGCTCATATTGTGGTTAATGAGCTTGCACCTTTTATGCGTTTAATGTGGAATACCTTTTTTCACGAATAACTCGTCCAACTTCACAAATATCTTGTCGAGACTACTTCTTGTGAGTGACCTCTCGAAATTTGGAAATTTTTTGTCCAAAATCATTGCAGCATGTCGGCGTTCATGTTCTTATGATTAGGGCTTGTTCAACTGTGAGCCCTTCATATTTCTATAGCACGGAGAGAGAGTATTGTATGTGGAGTTGACAATGTTGGGAGCCCACCAGAGCGACCCACCAGATGTCCCGTCTCTCCAGGAGGCTGGGAATTCTCTCCTCGCACTTGTCAACTCTGAATCACTCACCGTGAGCCTCTACTGCATACGTAGGCTATTGTATACCTACAGTCAATCCGCTAGCATACACAATTTATGTCCTTGTGAGGAAGGATTTTATTTTATGTGTGTATTTCATGAAAGTCAGACAATGCGTACCTGAAAATTGGTAGCTGTCAATTTTACAGCCTAGCCAGCGAACGTTAAGACCAGGCGTATTGAATACAGCTAACTACTACTTGATGGACAGGTCTCAAAACAATCACCGTAGAAAATTTTGTCAGAGAGAGAGGTGTACTTTTGGCGTATCATGGAACATAATGGTTGCTCAAAAAGACGGCAATCCAATATCACTTGTGTCCATTTAGACAAAGATTTGTTTTTTGTCTCCATTCCCATGACCAGATTGAAGTGGGTGGAGTCCCGCTGACGGCTGTGAGGGAGACGTTTGACATCACTCCCTCCCCACCTCCCACCGTCTCCACGGCAACAGGGGATGGGCTCGACAACGGCGACCTCGTTCTGATTTTGGCGGGAGGTGGAGCTGTGTTTGCCGTCGGTCTCTCGGTCCTTCTGGTGGGTGTGGCTTGGTGTCTGGTGTGTCGACAGAAGAAGAGGAGGAGGAGGAAGGACAAGGTGAAGAAGGTGGGACACAATGGCTCCTTCTCTCAGTTCCCAAGACTACAACCTACCTCCAAGGTATTGTGGACAGTTAGTTTATTCTTGCATGTACGTATAAGAGTAGAGCAGTAAATTTGTCTTTTGTGGCGTGCATTGCTATATAGGTGCAGCGAAACCTCAGAATAAGGCACACTTTATTGACATCGAAAGTGTGTTGTTTTAATAGGCATCCTTGTTTTAATCAGTACGGTAACCTTATTAGAGTGGCGTACTTTTCTAAAGGATCCTTTTCAGAGTACTTTGCTATTTGATAGATTCAAGTGAGGCGTACTTTTAAAAGGATACACTTTTTGGAGTAGTTTGCTATCGGATAAAATCAAGTATGGTATTTTTGTGTGTGCCTGAGATGGGGTAGAAAGGAGGCCGCATTCTATCATCTGCTCATGTACAGCTGTCCTGGGTGTAGTTGACTTGTTTGCCTTGCCTTGCCTTTCTACCTCGTTACCATGTTGCCTGAGATGGGGTAGAAAAGAGGCCGCATTGTATCATCTGCTTATGTGCATGTAATGTGCTGTTGGTGACAGAAATGTAATCATTGAACAGGTTAACCCAGTAGCTGACAATGAGGGAGAGAGTTCAGATGACGATATTGAGGTGGTCCACTCGTATCGACAGACACATCACTCCCCCACCACCCAAACTACACACCTCCCTTCAAGGTATGACGCCCACCTCTTTACCAAAGCAGCTAATACGTACTATCATTCATGTTATGAATGCAGTATAAAACACATTTCAGTAAAACCGCTATTACTAATGCATTCGTGTGGTGTTTAATGGAAGTATACTGTATTAGAGACTTTACTGTATACCAAAACAAAGAACAAAAATGAGCTCTCAACAATTGAGTTCAACTATATACATTAACATAGAGTGAATCAAAATGTGTTCCTAACATGTTCGAATGGACTCTTCTCCAGTCCTGATCTGTGGGACTATGGTTCAGATGATGATGCTGACTCTGACTACTCCAGCTACAACCGCAGTGACGTGAGTCCAGTCACATGATAACTCATGACAATCATGTGATTGGAACGTGGTCTACATTTCTCAGAAACACCTGGATTGCTGGGATCCAAAACCATCGCCACAGCAGCTCCGGGGATCTTTGGTGGGTCCAAATGTTGGTCGGCAGGTGACATCTCTCGCAGTTCTTGCCAAGTAAGTCAGTCTCAACAATAATTGTCATCATGAACATTTTGTCAATACATGTACTCGAAACAGTATATTATGCAGTCAGATATATACCCCTCCGGCTGTAATTGAGTAAATATGAGCGTGTGCAAGGCAACAAAAAATCTGCAACTCTTTCGTAGGATTATGTAAAGTTATAGATTGTGAGTGCACATCACACATTTCTCTCCACCTCAGAGAGCTACAACATACATCTCATTTGTCTTTGTTGATCAGTTTTGCATGTCTGTTTCAGTGGATCAATTCCCCAATTTCCATGTCCCTCTCTAGTGAGCCATCGTCTCATCAGGTGTGGACTGCCCACCCCACCCACCTTCCCCCTCCCTCCCACCTTACATATGTACAGCCTGCCCCGGAATATCCCCGGAGACATGGCTCCAAAATGTGAACCAAAAACTCCCATTTTATGATCTCACACACATAATTTTATTCTTGAACATTAGTTGTTTGTGCATGTATATTTTATGCCATTTCCAGCATAGAAAGCTACATAGAATTTAAAGCCAGTTTTAATTCAACATCTACTGAGTGTAATGTGCAGACCAGTGTTTGGAAAGCGAGAATGTCCGATCTGTAACAACCCCATCCACCAGAGCACTTTGTACATTGAGCACATGTACTCTGCCCACTGCAACAGGGTCTGTCGAGAGAGTTCTGGGAGCCATTGAAGGAGGTGTTCACGAAAAAACATCCTCACGATCACCACTATACCCTCTCCAACTCTTTCGAATCTCTTCTCATGTTCACGCCATTGAGTATATATTCTATTAATGCATAATCGTTTTATCCCTCTTGGGGCTTATTTAAGGGACCACCTCACCAATTGGGAGAACCCTCCAGCCATTCCTGGGACTCAGCAGAGCTCAGAAGAAGGACTCTTTTTTACCCGAGAGACTACGGGAAACAGAAGAGGGAATGTCTGGAGGTGTGGAAGGAGGAGAGGGGGGGAGAGAGGCCACGTACCGAGCCCTCATCTCGGCCGCAGAGGAGGCGAAGGACCAGCTGTTGGCTGACAAGATCAGAGACATGATAGAGAAGATGTGAACAATACAACCACTCTCTTTTGCTACTATCCATCATATATGCAACCACTGTCTGTTTTCTCCTTACCATCCAGCATTCACCGCACACAAAACAGATCTAGTGGTGGTAAGGTATGCTGGGTGGTAGCAACAGACAGTGGGTGGTAATTCTTCTCTAGCATGTCTCTGATGTTGTATGGGTGTGGAGCAGTGCCTAATGATTATCTTTAGGGGTAGAAGCACACTTAGCCTCCTCCTTGAATTATAAGTGAGTGGGTGGCTTTGATTGAGCACATGCACGTCAGACACAGTCAGAGTGAGAAGGAAAAAGTGATATACATGTGCTGCCTGCTTACACATACATAGGGAGAGAAGTACAGAAAGAGGTTGTGACAGTTCATGCTAATGCACAACCTAACAGACTAACACAAAAAGAAGTATAAGAAATCCGACTGCCACAATTAAGACCAGAATGCCGAAAATTATCACCAGCAGTTTGCCCAACCAGCCTTGCCCAGCATTGCCCTGCAGAGGTATAGAACATAAGGCACACATTGAGTGAGTTCTTTAGTGTTGTATACATAGAGTGCCCAATTATAGGGCAGTGCTATGCACTGTGTACTTACCGATCGCAATTTGTGAATGTGAAGTAGTACCACTGGATGTCATTTTATCATCTGAAGGAAAAATGTAAGAAGGGTAAGTGCACAAAAGCCGTACATGTACTTACGTACCATTTTGGTTTGGGTGTGATTCCTGCTCTTTTACACTTTGTCTCTTTCTCACGTCACCTCTTGTTCCTATGACACATAATGATACCATTTCTTAATGTACTGTGTATAAAGAAGGATAGGCTATTACCAGTTACATCTTCCTGTGTGTTTCTGCCTTGGTTTCCTAAAGGTGGTACATAAAAAATATCTATACCGACACTGCAATTTGAAATGGTACAATTGGTGCAGAACGTGATGGTAGGTCTGCACTTCCTTCCTGTAGTGCTGCTGTATGTAACGCTAGATGGATCATGTATTAGTAGTTGTTGCCAGGGCCCAGGTCTGCACTTCCTTCCTGTAGTGCTGTGTATGTAACTATGTGAGAGGTAGGCTAGATGGATCATGTATTAGTAGTTGTTGCCAGGGCCCAGAGTGCCACATGGGATACGTTGGCACGGTTGTGTTGTAATGCGTGAGGGCCACTGCAGGTGGAGGGTTTTACGTTGCAACTGTGGCAACATAGCCATGTGGTCACGAGGGAAAGCCCAAGCAACAACTAATTTTGTTTCTATTTACATAGCAACTAGTTGTGTCCGTTCGAGTCCACCTTGAACTCGGGAAATCCGCCGTAACTCCGCTATACTATGGCTAAGACCAGATATTCAAAGCACAATGCGCTCGTGAACACAAGTAGGTTCCGTAGAACCAGCCTGTGTTTACGACTGACGCTCGCTAACAAAGTTACCTGTATGTCCCATATAGAAAGTATGGACATTCCAGTGGCCACAAGGAATGCAATCGAGCCACACTACTGTTACGTATGTGTAATACCCAAGCCACATGGTGTGCAGTGAGCAGGCTCTGTTCAAACAATCGACCTACAATTGCACAGTAGGTTTCACGCGCCTATAAGCCCTCGCTGGACTAAACCAAAACGCTTGAAGTGCTGTCTTTGCTAGGGCTGGTTGGTGGCACTACCTGGGCGGCCATTGATTAGCCACTAACACTTGATGCTCCTTATAAGGTGTGTGTGAACAGTTTTGACAGTCCAGGTGCAAGGGGAAAGCCCACACAGCTGCACTAATTGCCTGATAAGGATGTGTGCTACATATTATGATACACTTTTCTATTGACTCTAGGTGATTAGTGAACTGAGGAACTATAACACCACCCACTAAAACTTGTGGCTCCCAAGGGAAAAGCCATAGAATTCTGTCTGCTTTGTCCTATTGCATTTCTCTCACATGCGTTTCCTAGCTCTTGTATAAGTCCTCATGCGCTACTGCTAGAAGAGTGTCTCCCTGTACGTTTACCTTACCTCTGTCAGAAGGTGAAGGGAGTCCAAAGTGTAGCTCAAGGTCTCTGGCAAGAGAGTTCAGTTCAACATCTCGGAAACACTGGATCAGTTTCTCCCATGAGTGATCTTCATCTTCTTGTATCCATTGCTTGTATATAATTTCAACTGTTGCAACTCGGTCGCTCTGTTCCATTGCACTGACTATTGCCCCGGTATCGTCCCTCAGCAATAAGGCTCCAATTTGTGTGTATTTTGCCGCACTCTCTTTTAATATTCTGATATCTCCCTGGGATGTTGATAGTTTTATCAGGTCAGGCAGCATTACTTGTCCTAGAATAGAACACAAAGACACATCATTTAAATTCTCCCATGTATATAATTGGTGAGTGGGAGCGAGCACACCTAGTCATGTCAATGGGCCGATTTTCCATTTGTATCTATCCAGCGATGCCACACATACCATAATGTTCTACGTGAGTCTAAGCAACGGCTAGCCGATCGAAGCACACTACGCCTCTACCACAGCAGAGCTTGCAGGAGGCAGCCTCTTGCTCCAGAAACAGCCAAGGAACACGAGACATAGCTCGCAGGCGGCAGCGTCTAGCAGCTGAGGACTGGAAAGCACGCCCTTCTCGCTGGCATCGCACGCACGAGAGGCACACATCCAGCAGCGGAGGACGGCGATGCAACAAACTATACTCCTCTCAGTGATAACCAGTGGCTGTATATCTGTAGATGGATCACTCCCGCTCGCCAAAAATGTCATCTACATTAGCTCTGAACTCACCAGGAGTGTTGGTAATAGTGGTGGCAGTGGTAGAGGAGGCAGGAGCTGTGGAGACAGAGAGGGGAGGCTCGGAGGTGGGGGGAACTGCAGAAGATGAACAGGAGAAAGAGGGTGTGGCTGACTCAGCAGCTGTAGGCACAATGAGACAGTTCCAATTAGAGCCCTCAGTGGGTGGACTACACACTACACACATCAATGTATTATGGTGGTTGGGAAGACTGTTTCTAAAAGAGGCTCACCAGGAGTGGTGCTAGCAGTGGAGGAGACAGGAATAGCAGCTGTGGCAGTAGTGGAGGAGGTGGAGGAACACTCGAAGACTGAGTATATAGAGAGACAGTAGAAGGGAAAAACAAACAGTCCGCAATGCCCTTGAAGAGTGTACTCACCAGGACTGGAGGAGACAGGATGAGGAGCTGTGGACACCGTAGCAGGAGAGGTAGAGAGAACTGTAGAGAGTAGAGTGTATAATGAACAATGGGTCTGCTTTGTGTCAGCACACAATACGGGGAAGAGGACTCACCAGAGGGTGGTGATAGTGGTAGTGGAGACAGGAGGAGAGGACAGGGAGGGAGAGGGAATAGAGGCAGTAGTGGAGGAGACAGTGGAACACGCTGACACTATAGAGGAACATGTATGGATATAAAAATAGTGCTTGCTTGTGACATCTGTGCATACTCCATCCCTCCCTCCTTCTCTCCCTGTCCATGTCTCACAAGAGGAAACAAGGGAAGGCATAGGGAGACGGTATAGGAGAGGGGGGAGCCAAGGAGAGGAGTTTAGGAAGCGTGCGTAGCTAGGGTTGGGAGAGGGATAGGGAAGGATCAGGACCGTAGGGGCAGGGAGGGGAGGAAGCAGACGGCAGCATCTGAAGGAGCAGGACGGAGATGGAGACGCAGGGACAAGCGTAGGGCGGCGAAGCGAGCTGTAGGAGGGGGGTCAGGCATGGACGGCACGGGGGAGTAGGGACAGGCAACGGTAGGGGAAGTACGGAGGTATGAGAAGAAGGAGGATAAGGACGAGGAAAGGGAGAGGCAGGGAGAGGAGACGAGCCCAAGGGCACGGAGGGAGCGAACGAGGTGTAGAGGAAAGGCAGGAATGAAGAGGAGGAGAGGAGGAGAGAGGACAAGAGGAGCCGGCGCAGGAGCGGACCGCAGGATAGGAAAGGAAGGAGAGAGACGAGGTGAGGAGGAGGCCTATCCCAGGAGGAGAGAGAGGAGAGGTGAAGGGTCTTGAGGAAGGGAGGGCGAGAGGGGGGAAGACGTAAGTAAGTAGAGGAAGGGACAGGGACAGTAGAGAGGAAGAGAGAGTGAGTTAGGGAGGTATATAGAAGAGACCCACAGTAGAAAGGGAAAAACAAACAGTCCGCAATGCCCTTGAAGAGTGTACTCACCAGGACTGGAGGAGACAGGATGAGGAGCTGTGGACACCGTAGCAGGAGAGGTAGAGAGAACTGTAGAGAGTAGAGTGTATAATGAACAATGGGTCTGCTTTGTGTCCATGCAAATACGGGGAAGAGGACTCACCAGGAGTGTTGATAGTGGTAGTGGAGACAGGAGGAGAGGACAGGGAGGGAGAGGGAATAGAGGCAGTAGTGGAGGAGACAGTGGAACACGCTGACACTATAGAGGAACATGTATGGATATAAAAATAGTGCTTGCTTGTGACATCTGTGCATACTCCATCCCTCCCTCCTTCTCTCCCTGTCCAGGTCTCACAAGAGTAAACAAACCTTGGAGGCCAGGATTACGAGCAGACGACGGAAGATGTTGATGAAGTCGAGGAAGAGGTCGAGAGAGTGACGGACGTAGTCGGTGTCTCCGTTGTTGAATCGCTCCGCAATCAGTTGGGTGTCAAAGAGAACGAACCCACAGAACAGAATGACACCACCGTACACATCCAGCTGTGAGGGGGAGAAGGTGGACAAGAGTCAACTAAATGTCATTTACAACAAGAAAGAAGTCTATAAGAATAGGTTATACTGTGCATCAATGGAAATACGGGATTTAGACACCCCGAGGGGCCTAGAAATAAGCCTATAAACCTAGAGAAGAGCCAACTCTAATGCTTGCTTGTGACATCTGTGTGTACTGCGTGGTAACACGTACTGTGTAGGGACTGTATAGGGGGACAGTGAAGTGTATGTACCTGTACTACATGTGTATGGATGTGTGTCTCTCCCACTACGTCTGTGTTTACTCGGCATGATGGTTCAACATGTGGAAACAGTCATGCCACGTACAACGTGTAAAACATGCACCGGGACAGACCTGGAAATGAGAGACTATACTTTACCTGGAAGACCATGTGAGATCCCAGGAAGATATTGAAGAACAGCATCATCACCAACATGTTGAGTCCAGATATCAGAAACCCTACATACATACATATACATACATACAGATATCATACAACAGCAAGAATTGTGACAAAAACTGCCAGAGTGCGAGGAAAAAATACTCCGTTTTTAAACTAGTTGATGCACTCTGCACTAGTCATCCACAAAGACATTAACACATACATGTAAAGTAATTCTACTGGTTAACTAGCTATTGACACATGACATATTTCAATGTGCATTAGGAGTTGGAAAAGCCAATAGTTAAGGGGAAACCCCCAGGGAAACCAGTGAAGATAAACAAACAGTAGGCCAAAGGAATGAAATATTGGTAAGCTATCTGTAACTTCTGGGTGTGTCCTGGCAAATCTAGCATGGTCTGACATTTAGTATGAACAAACAGAAAACCTTATCCCATGCTCTCTGTTGGTGAGTAATGAAATAGCTGCTGGCATACCTCCCAAGAACAGCATACTTCTCCTCTCGGCATACAGAGCGGCAAGACTGAGGCTACCAAATATGGCACACGAACCAAGGAATGCTGTTGGGATGATACTGTGTACCATAGAGAGGTGTGGAGAGAGAGAGAGAGAAGACAATACATAGACATATGGAAATGTTCAAATAGATATAGTATGGGGCAGTTTCATCTATTATGAAAGTTAAACAGGAGAAAAGCAGTAGACATGCTTGTAGTAAGCAGACCTTGACACCTAATGTCAATACGGACAAAACATAAAAACAGATGCATACTATGTGAAGATAGAAGCGGTCAGTTCCGAAGGGAGTGTATTCACCAAACTGACCTCTACCGAGAGAAATCCAACCTGGAACGAAGCCGTGTTTTTCGGCGACAGAGAATACCGGCGACGCTGAGGGACAGACATCAAGAGACTTGCAAAAAATCACAAACATAAATTATAAGCAGAAAAGCTTCTGTGAGCCACAGGCTGCAGGTAATGCTAGCGAGAG